ACTCAAAGAAATGAACAGCATTTCATTTTGTCCAGTTGTTCTTAGTTTTGCTTAGAAACTAGAAGAAACAGTTTTCTTCTAAATGACTGAAAATAATTAAACATTTCTATCACCTTCAGAATGGCAATGTGATCCAGATAGCCTGTTATCATTCATCTTTGATAAATTTCAAGATAAGACTTGTTCAGCTTACTGAAAGTAGAAAGCTTAAGATACTAGTGTCTGTAGCACAACACAATGGCACTGTTTTCTGGTTTTCCAGAAATTCACTGTAATTCACTGATACATCTTTAACTTTGTTATTTCTGTTGCTTTGATCCAGAATATTTAAATAAATATTTATAGCTTTTTTTTTTTTTTTTTTTTTTGGCCAGTTGGCAGCATAATGTGCTTTCATCTAAATTACTTACCAGGGCTTATCACACTGCTGATTTTGACTGAATTCTTTATTGAGCTTATTGCTTGTCAACCTCTATAGATAGTACTAGTAAAGTAAACGTTGGTTTAACCACAGCTTGAAAATGACAGTCTTGGAAACTACTGCAGGCATTTTCCAGTGTGAACAACATACAAATCAGAACCAGATACAACATACTTGAGAAACAGCAGTAAAATCTAGAGTCTCCTGGAAGTGATATGTTGGGCCAGTGACCCTTAATAAATGGCATTGTTGTAGATATTGTAAGTACCAGTGCATCGCTTGATATTTAAAATTGAATGCTGCAGTCCTGAACAGTGATAACATCAGCACAAGACCAAGTTTTAATCCTCTCCAAAAATCTGGCCCTGTTATTTAAAAAAGTGGCCAAGAACATCTCATCCCTGCATACCGAGCACGTTGGAGGCCTGTTAGATAAAACTGTAGCTCATGCACTGCAACGGATAAATCTCATTTCATCTACTACTTCTATGGGGTATCTTATTTTTTCCAATTAGTCAAACCTCCAGCTTGGCCTTGCACTCGAACTCCACCTTTTGAAGTTTTTTTTTTTTTTTCCCCTTCATTTTTTGGTTTAGCTCTTTTGCTGCGTGTGCCCGTGAGCGGCTGGAGGCTCCGGGCGGGCGGCGCGGGGAAGCAGGGACCCCGGCGCATCCACGATGGATGCCCAGCACGTGCTCCCCTTGGCAGCACTGTGGGGATTGCTGTGGGAGCTGGGTCTCTTAAGCAGCCTGGCAGCATGACAGTTTCATTTTTTAAAGCTATTTCCTTTCCCTAAAATCCATATGATTTTCATTCTCTGCTCTTCAATGCCAACTTATTAATCACTCAGCCTCTTGCCTAATACTGGATAAGATTATAAGCCTCTCCCTGCCTGCTTTTCATAAGGCTTTCATGTATCGTATTAAGTTTGTAGTATTATTTCCTGACCAAAATGAGCTGTGATAATAGGTAATATTTCATTACCTTTTGTGCTTTTTTTTTTTACTGCACCACATTTTTATACCAGTGCATACTTCTAGTGAAGTTATTAAAAATATTGCCCTCTGGTTATAAGCAGGCCTATTATCTGATACTGATGAAATCATTTTACATTTCTTTCTTTGTAATAGCAAATCATAGTAAATACTTAACTTTTATTATCTCAGTTTGGCAACACCTTTAAAAGCTTTTTTTTTCTTTCTTTATTTCTTTTTTTTTTTGTTAAAGACAGTATAAATGAGATCATCGTATTCTATGTTGCTGGCTGGATGCTTTCCAGTAAGACGTGTGTTGGAAATATCATCCACAAGTTCTTGCTAATGCACTGATTAAAATTAAAAGTTTTCCTATATACTTGAGCCAGGTTGTTGATTGTTGCACACTGGAAGAAGCAAGTGACTTATCCCATTGATTTCTGCAAGATACGATGAAAGCCAAAGGTCCATTGAAACGCAGGTGGACTGATATGTCTCTCAGTGTCTTGTGCCTGTGTGCTGGGAAAAGAGGCAGGGAATAAGGACATATGAAGAAATACCTAAGAGAGTGTTATTGCACTGCTTTGGAGTCTTAGGGAATCTTGGAGACTATGAAATAGGTTGCCTTGTACTTTATTTTTCATCCAAAAGCTTAAATTATCATCAAATCAGACAATTGTAGACAATTCACAAAAGTGAATCTCCATCATTCAGAAGTGTGTCTGCATAGGGAAAAATGCTGCTGGTACTCCTTATAAATATGCTCCTGACTCATCCACAAGCTCCTTGGAGTGTTTTTTTTCACATTCCTATATCAAACTGTGAGGGGCTTTTCTTTCCTCTCTAGTTGTGGTCATTTGCTATGGGAATGTTCTCAAGGAAGAATTTTTTTCACCAAATTCTTGTTTTTTTCTGAATCATACTGGCTGCACCATAAAGAATGGCAGGATCTCTGGGGGAAATTTTGGGACCTTATGAATACGGCAGTCAAATTCACAGATGCCCTTTATTCTGCCTTTTGGATATCTTTTATTGAAGAGGCTAATAAATTATTAGACAACTTTCTAGAATGAGCATGCCAAAGCCAGAATCTGAGCTTATGCATGCATATTTTTTCATCCATCCAGAATAGTACAGATCTGAGCTCTTTAATTACCATAAAGAAGAGACTGTCCCTAGGCAACGGTTCTTATTTCACTCTACCTCTTCCGGGAATTTTAGATAGCACTTCTGCAACGTGTCACATCTCCTAATAGATGAGATTATGATTCTCTATAGCTCAGCACGCAGTGTCCTGGAAGTCTGACCAATTAGGCTTATTCTTCAGCTGGATGAGTCATCCCATACATACTTTATAACAGATGTATAAGTAGCTGTGTGTAGATGGCTTACAAGAAAATGATGTTAAAATAGAATTATGTTTGAGCCATGCATACGTAAGAAAATTCTTTCATCGTTTTACTCCTCCACAGAGAAGTAATGACAACAGTTTTCTAAGCTGACTGGCAGTGATGATAGACCTTGTCTTCTCCAGACTGTTTATGCCCTTGGAGAGTTCCCTAGGAAGTTTTTGAACCTCAGAGCTCTCACTCTGTAACAACGATGTATATGAATGTTTTTCAGGAGGGGAATGGTGTCTGGTGTTGGCTTTCCTCTTTGCTTGCTTTCAAAGTAGTGCCTGCTACCATGCTTTGTCATCCAGTGGTGATGCGTCAGTGTAGCAGAAAATCTGCAAAGGTGCAAATGACTCTACATATCTTATTCTTTTCTAGAACAACAGATCTAAGCCTATATATTCAAGATAGGACTTACTGCTGTCTTTGCCAATGATAACCTATGTTACAGCTTTTGAGAATTTTCTCATATGTAAGTCTCATCATTCCCATGAGTTTCCACCTTTGGTTCTTTCTGCCAGTGCTGAAAGGAGATCAAATACTACTTTGCTTCTCATGCAGGTTATCCACGAATCAAAAGTCTTGTGACTTCTCTAGGACAAGCTTTCCAGTGAATCCTTTTGTCTTTTTCCTTGCAATGTGTTCAACCAGTACAGATACCACAGAAGCCATTCAGAAGCTTTTATGAGGTGAAGAGTGGGTATGAAAGCAAACTTAAGCCTTCTACGTACTTTCTCAACTGTCACTTAGCTGGAGCTTGGGTTCAAGACACCAGCACCCTGCTGAAGAAAAAATGATCTGGAGAACAGAGCAGTAGTTGCTGATAGATAGAACTGATAGTCTGATAGAGTCAGTCTTCATGAAAAGGAGTACAGGTTGTCCTGTGCTAATCCTGAGTTTACCTAGATTTTTCCACTCCCTTAGGCTCCACTGGAGTCTAGGCTCAGCACAGGCTTATCTGAAGTTTATATCATGGAGAGTGAGGCTGAATCTACACGAAACTACCACGCAGTTCCCGGTTTTGCACAGGTTGCAGTGTTACACAAGTAAGTTCACTGCACAGCAGTTCAACCACTGTTACCACTAAGTGTTCATTACTGCCCTTTCAGAGAGACAGTGATTTAATGAACTACCTGGGCGATAATTACCTACCATAGTTACCTGATCTCTCCAGTCTTTCACAGTACTTTCCTTTCATGGCTCATTTTCTCAAGAAAGTTATAGTTAGCAGTCTCCCAGAATTGCAACAATTAAACCATGTACATGTCTGTAGCAGAACGTTGGTAGTGGGTGTATGGGGGAGAAAT